CCAAATTATTCTCCACAGTGGCTGGACCAATTTACATTCCCACCAGCAGTGTAAAAGAGTTCCCTTTTCACCACACCCCCGCCAACACTTATCATTTTTTGTCTTTTTAATCTTAGACATTTTGACTGGAGTTAGGTGGTACCTCGTTGTTTTTATCTGCATTTCCCTTACAATGAGGGATGTTGAACATTTTTTCATATGCCTTTTGGCTATTCGTATGTCATCTTAGATATGGAGGATGTAGAGGAGATAACTGTGAAGCAACCAAGAGAATGGTGGTATCATTAACCTAGATAGGGAAGTTTCCAGCAGGAGTAAGCTTAAGGAGATGTAAGTTTGGTTTCAGAGACAAGTTTGTTATGCTGGCAAATTATGTACTTCAGGCATGCCCAGCAAGCAGCTGGACATCTGGGATATAGTGCTAGAAAAAGCTTAGTGTAGAGTATGGACATGTGGTCCTTATCCATAGAGAGGAGGCAGCCGAGGCTGTTGCAGTAAATGTGACTGCCCACAATGAGTGTGGGCAAAGGAAATAGGTTGAATGACAGATCTCTACAGAACAGCCATAGATCAGGTGAAAGAGGAAGAAGAGAGAAAATGAGTAAATTCTATTTTCATTGGTATTGGCAATCATTTTAAAAAAATAAGTGTCAACAAAGCTTTGGAGGAATGGGCATTCCTATCTACTGCTGGGTGGGAATAAAAATGAGTACACACTTTGTAAAGGGAATTCTGTCATATGTAATCAGGAGACTTAACAATGTTTCTGCTGTGTTTGCTTAGGCCAATATACACCAAAATTAGAATGATACAGAGAAGAGTATCAGGGTCCTGGCATAAGAATGACATGCACATTTGTTAAGTAATTCATATTTTTGCTGGAATTAGAGATAATGGTCTCATACCACTGAAATCACACATTTGAAGTAGTTAATTTTATAGTATGTAAGTTATATCTTAAGAAATGTCCCTACCATTTGTTTAAGCCTTTCTACTATATTTCTAGCCTAAGAAAACAACTGAACACATACACATTGATTTATGTACATGACCTGTCATCCAATGTAGGGTTGTTGATAATGGTAAAATTGGGAATATCCAAACTATCAAACATTTAAGAAGAGTTAAGTGAAATATTGCATATCTACATGAGAAAATAATAGTCTCCCACTAAAAAATCATGTTTTGAAGACTATTTAATGATCTTGGAAAAGGTCCACAAAATGGTAAGTGAAAAGAACATTATATAAAGCTGAATATAATACCAGCCTAATTTTTTAAAACTTATACATAAACATATATATTCATACATAGGCATATACATATGAAAAGCCTGGATATAAATGTCTTACCAGTGAGTATTTATCTGTGTGGTGGGATTAAGGGTCATTTTTATTTTTCACACAATGAAAACATTTCCAAATTTTCTATACTAAATACATATTACATTTTGTATAAGAAAAGATTTCTAAAGAAAAATTATACCATCCAACATAGACATATCATCTAGCCAGGGAACTGTCTGATATGACCATCTGACACATTCCTAAATTAAGAATCTGCAATTACAACTGTGATTCCACTTAACTATTTTATTTTATTTATTTTTTTGGAGAGGTTTTTGCTATAGGGCACGTGCGCTCGCCAAACAGAGAGACAGAGAGACAGAAAGCGAGAAATACCCCCCTCAGGGGGGATGACCACGCTGCAATCCCTTCTCCTCCATTCTCCTCTCGGGATCTTGGGCACGCACGCACATGCACTTGGCGTGAGTTTTAAGCCACCGGGTTCGGGACTCAAACTGCGGTCAACTACGTGGGAATCCAGCGACATAGCCATTACGCTAACTGCTGGTTCCCAGCAGTATGAGTTTTAACAAGCCCACTAGGCTGATTCTAATGCACACACTATTTTGAAAACCACTTTTCTATCATACACTGTAAAACAGATTTTCAAATGGCTTCTTCAAAATACCAAGTGCTGCTGCTTTCACTTATGTGTGGGTCTTGCTTTCCAAGGGAGGCCAGGAGGTTCCCTTCAACTCTCAGTACTGTGTACATAGAAGAGGGTAGCTGCTTGAAAAGTACTTGGGTTCCTGGGGAAGGAATGTATTTCTTTATGGTGAGGAAGTTCTTAGAACTAAGAGGGCAACCCTGCTGGCAGTGTCTCTCTCTTTCTCTCTCAGTTGCCCTTGTCAGGGAAGATGTGGTCTGGTGAGCAGCTGCCATATATTTATCTCCTGGTGAGGTTTCTCTTTGTAAATACTTTGTGTGGTTCCACAATATTTTACATAAGTGCCTGGTACATTTTCTGTTCTGAAGTATTTATATTCACAAACCTTTGATTTATCAAGCTTTTTATTTTCTTGGTTAGTTACATTTTTTTATCAGCTTTATTAAGGTTTCATTAACAAAAATTGTAGATATTTATGGTGTACAACATTTTTATACATGTATACATTGTTAACTGAATAAATCAAGCTATTCACATATCTATCATTTAGCATACTTATTGTGTGTATAAATATTTATATACTCTTTTAGAAATTTTCAGGTATGCATTATTAATAACTATGGTCACCAAGCTATGCATTAGATCTCTAGAACTTATTCCTGTCTGACTGTAACTCTATACTCTTGATCAGTATCTTCCCTTTTCCTTCCCTGCCCACCAGTCCCTGGTGACAACCCTTCTACTCTCTGCTTATCTGAGTTCAACATTTTTATATATTAGATATAAGTGAGATAATGTTGAATTTGTCTTGTGTCTAGTTCCTTAGCATAATGTCCTCCAGGTTCATCCATATTGTCACAAGTAACAGGATTTCCTTCTTTTTGAGAGTGGAATATTATTCCATTATGTATATATACCACATTTTCTTTATCCATTCATCAATGGGCTTGATTCCATATCTTGGCTATTGTGAGTAACACTGCAATGAACATAGAAATGTAGACATCCCTTAGAATTACTGTTTTCATTTGCTTTAGATATATATCTAGGAATAGGATTGTTGGAGGGTATTTTTAATTTGTTGAGGAACCTTCATACCATTTTCCATAATGGCTATAATAATTTATGTTCTCATCAATAGTGATCAAAGGTTCCTTTTTTTCTATATTCTCACCAACATTTGTTATCTTATTTTTTTGATAGCACTCATTGTGGCTTTGATTTGTATTTCCCTGATGATTAGTGATAGTGAGTACTTTTTCTTATGCCTGTTACTATTTGTGTGTATTCCTTTGAGAAATGTCTAATCATATAATTTGTTTATTGTTTTTTGAAGTTTATTTATTTCTTCCATGAGTGATACAGAGAAAGAGTATGCTTTAACACCTTCCACCAGGACCTGTTCATGCTGCAATCCTTTTTCCTCCAATTCTTTGTCCCATCCGGATCCTGGGCACAAGTATGTGCACCAAGGGGGTTTTCAAGCCACCAGTGTCAGGACTCAAACCTTGGTCAGCCATGTGGAATCCAGCTTTCACTGCTTAGCACTTAACCAATGTGCTATGGGAGTCTTTTCTGGTTTCATATGACCTTTAGGATTTTTCTTTCTCTGAAAAATATTATTACATTTTTGCAAGTGATTTAATTGAATCTGAAGATGGATTTAGGTACTATGAATGTTTTAACAATATTAATTCTTCCAGTCTATGAACATAAGATACCTTTATTTCATTATTCCTTATTGTATCCTCTTCAATTTATTTCATTAATGTTTTGTAGAATTTAGTGTACAAGTCTTCACCTCCATGGTTAAACTTATTCTAAGTATTTAAAAAATTCTTTTATGCTATTGTAATGAGGATTGTTTTCTTGATTTCTTTCTCAGTTTGTTGTTGGTATATAGAAACACTACTCATTTTCTCATATTGATTTTGTATCTTACAATTTTATGGAATTTGTTTATTATTTCTAACAGATCTTTTGGGTAGAATTCTAGGGTTTTCTATATAAAATAATCTCATTTACAAACAGAGAATTTAAACTTTTCTTTCCCAGTTGGTATGCCTTTTATTCCTTTTTCTTGTCTATGTGCTCAAGCTAGAGCCTCTAGTACTATGTTGACTGGAAGTGAAAAAAGTAGGCACTCTTGTCTTTTTCTTTGTTTTAGAGGAAAAGCTTTCAGCTTTCCGCCATTGAGTATGATGTTGGCTGTAGGCTTGTCATATATAATTTTCAAAATATTGATGTATATTTTTTATGTCTAATTTGTTAAGAATTTTTTATTATAAAAACATGCTAAACAATGTGAAATGCTTTAACTACATCAATTGAGAGGATCTGTAATGTTTATCTTTTTTGTTAATGTGCCATGTCACATTTATTGATTTGCATATATTTAACCATCCATACAGTGAGTAAATTGGATGGGGAGTTGGTTAGAAAGGTGGGAGTAGGAGAGATTATGTTTTCCAGGAGAAAAATAACATAGCATTATGTTATATTAACAGTGATCTCCCCTGGAATGTGAGGGACTCATTCTTCATTGTATGTGCCTTTGTACTTTTGGTTTGCCTTCTGAAACTATTGCTTTAAAAAATACTTAAAAATTAACTTGTCCAAGACTGAACTAATTCTCCTTCTGCTATGGTTTGGATGTATGTATTCCTCCAAAATTCTTATGTTGTAATTTAACCCCCAAGGTGATAGTATTAAGAGGTGAGGCCGATGGGTAAGAGGCCATAAGGGTAGAGTCTTTATCTATGGGATTAATCTCCTTATGAAAGGGCTTGAGTGAGAAAGAGAAAAATAGAGACAGATTGCCCCTTTTGCCTCTTCATCTCTTCTACCACGTGAGGACACAGCATTTATCCCTTTTACTCTTCCTCTATGTAAACACACAATGACAAAGTGTGAACTTGGAATAAAGAACAGCCCTTACCACACACTAAATTTGTTGGCAGCTTGATCTTGGACTTCTCAGACTCCAAAACTATGAGAAGGAAATTTATGTTCTTTATAAATTACCTAGCCTAAGATTTTTTTTATAATAGTATGAACAGAAGATGACATCTCACTTCTCTACTGCTGGTGCTGATCACAGAATAAATCATTTACTAAAATGAGAAATCTAGTAGACACTCTGGGTTTCCTTCTGTTCTTTACCACATATATCTGCCTGATCAAGTACCTAGACTAGACAATTTTTGAATCTCCTTTTCTACTCTATCCCTGAATTACAAATCGCTTGTACTGTTACACTTATTTTCTAACTAGATTACCTGCCTCTTTTCTCTCTACAAAAAGCCAATGGATACATCTTTCCAACATGCAAATCTCTTCCTGATACTCTCATGCTTAAATTTCTTCACTGGTTCCTAGTTCCTTTGGGGAAAGTTCAAACTCATCAGCATGGCATGCTAGACCTTCCATATTTTTTTTTATTTTTTTTTTGGAGAGATTTTCACTGTAGGGCGCGTGCGCTCGCCAGACAGACAGAGAGAGACAGAGAGACAGAAAGCGAGAAATCACCCCCCAGGGGGGATGGTCACGCCGCAATCCCTTCTCCTCCATTCTCCTCTCGGGATCTTGGGCACGCACGCACACGCGCCCGGCATGAGTTTTAAGCCACCGGGTCCGGGACACGAACCACGGTCGACTACGTGGGAGTCCAACGACATAGCCATTACGCTAACTGCTGGTTCCCGACCTTCCATATTTTTTGAGAGATTTTTTACTATAGGGCATGTGTGCTTACCAGAGAGACAGAGACAGAAAGCAAGAAATCACTCCCCAGAGGGGATAGTCATGCCATGATCCCTTCTCCACGCTCCTCTAAGGATTTTGGGCATGCACACACATGTGCCTGGTGTGAGTTTCAAACTGCTGAGTCTGGGACTCAAATCAGGGTTGGCCATATGGGAGTTC